CGATTTGACAGGTTTCAGACGTGTTTTGAAGTTACAAGCGCATCAAGGTCGTCAAAAGCAAACCTGCCGGCTTTTATGGTAGATGAACACATCATCATCGATGGTAGCACTCATCGGATCTGGGTAGGTTCTTTGGGCTCCACCTCCAGATGGAACCCACGTCCAGGTCCAGGTCCTTCAGGAAATGGACATGGCCAGCGGATGCTTGTTTGTTTTTGCATAATCTGTTGTTGCGATTGGTCAAAAGGATGATGCACAACTGCACAACCTATAATATATCTTATAGTGCCATATAGTGCCCGCAAAACAGATAGAATAACTATTCAGAAGCATATATCCACAAAGGAGCTTGCTGGGGTTCAGATGGGTTTGGGGGTTTGGGGATTTTTCGATGGTAGGAGGTGAGATTGATGGGCTGGATGGGCTGGATGGTAGGAGGCGCAAGAACGCGTGCTTTCTTGCGCGCGAAAACGCGAGGCGCTGACAGTGGCGAGGAGGAGGCGTGGTGAGCAGATGGGCTTTGGCGGCGGGGCGGTGATGCCGAGGGCAAAGGAGAAAGCCTCAAGGCCCCTCACTGTCGAGAGTCCAGCAAAATGACTCATGCACTACTCGGAGCGGATGGTAGGACCGCCAGGTGTTCCAGCGCATGAGGTGAGTGAGTTCCGGGTGAGTTCAGACAGCGCATGAGTTCGGAGCCTTGCGATTCCACATGGTGCCCACGCACCCTGAGCCTTCCCAGCCTCCGGTTTCCCTTGCTCGGTCCGGACGTATGACTTCCCTTGCCAGCGGCATGTGAGTGCTCATGTATCGGCGGTGGCACGTTGTTCAGGAGCCACCATTTTCGGCATGATCAAACCAGATCAAACAAGCATGTGAGCCACTCTTTCGAAACCTCCCCGTTCTTCTTTTCAGGCAGATGTTCCTCCCCGTTTTCAGAGCTGCAGTGGGAGAGACATCCAACGAGAGGTGGTGGATGGTCCCTGGCAGGTCATGAATCCAAGTGGCGCCAGCCAAACCGCCCCGTTTCGTTGGACCAACGGGGTGTGTTCGTGACACATCCGCTCGTTTGGTGTGGAACCGTGGTGGACTGAAGTGGACTTCCGGTCAGGTCAGGTCAGTCGTAATCACCGCCCTTGGTTTCCATCCTGAACTCGGAAGTCCCGGAGAATTTTTAGTAGAAAAAAATGTAGCGGATTGATAGTAGAAAAAAACACATTACCATGAAGACAACATTAGCGGTTTATCTCTTAGAACCTTTTTTGGTCTCTTACCATCTCATTTTTCGAAAATATCTTAGCATCTTTGTCTCCTATACATTACCTTTTGATCTCATTTTGAGAAAAAGACATGTTCCCCAAACAGTTTACAGACATGCGGACGGCACTCATGTCTGCAGTCATGATTTCCATGCTTCTCCCCCTTGGAACGCCCGCTCACCCCTCCGCATCTGCCACACTCGGTGGAGGTCTTCTCGCAGCCGGGCGAAGCAGGCGAAGCGAGCGAAGCCACAGTCCGTCTCGCGGGGGTGCCCGGTGACGGCGCCGACGGCCAACAAAATGGGTGGGGCATGTCTGGGGTGGCTCCATGTCTCTGTCAAAATGGAGTGTCAGTCGATGTTGGGATCGGCTGCCGTGTGTCCTTTTTCGCCACCGGCAACCTTGGGGCTCAAGTGGATCTTGTAACCATGGATCGGCCCTGCTAGCAGGTGGGGGTTGGTCACCTTGGTTCCTAGTATCTTATTTATACTGTAGTATAGTTTGGTAGGGAGTCATTGAGTCATTCCTCCGATCAGAACCGGGTTTTGTCTTTCACCATGGCTGCACATGTTCGCCCTCCACGGGGTCTACCACACACCTTCGGCCGTGTGCATCCAGGCACCCCTGCCATCGTTTGGACACCCCCATTTTGTAGGGCTTGTCGGTCCGGTCCCACCTTTAGGGACCGATGGTTTGGGTGCTTGGAACAGCAACTATCATGTAACGTCAACGAGTTCCACTGTGGTCCCGTGCCATCATGGAATCATCCTCTTCCATCTCTTCCATCCCACCACTTCTTTGCTTGCTCCGACCCAAAATTTCGGACACGAGGATGCGGGTCTGCCGAAGGGGCGGAGGCTGGGCGGACGTGGTGGACGCTTGCGGGAGGAAGCCGGTTGTGACCGAGCAAGTGGTGCCTCCAGGTGATACCAAACCTTCACTTCCAACCAGCAGTCACAAAGGGGTGCGATCCATGGAGTGCTCAATCCACTCACTTAGGGACCAAAAAACCACCCCTTTTTGTGACTCCTGGAAGATGCTTGTTTCTCAGAAACTCACTTTCTGGGTTTGCGTGGGAACGACTGTGCTAAAGCCCATGGGCCACTCTTAGTGTTCCCGGTCTTGGAAGACACATATCATTTCTGGGATTATGAAGCGACTGCTGCTGAGAGGACTGCCGCTGCCGGTTTTTGCAGGTTCGTCTGCACCGTAGGGTAACTCGTCGTGTGGGTCACGAAGACCGTCATCGAAAGTCATCCAAAGTCTGGTTCATCAGTCTGAAACCCTGTCCGAGTCCAGCCACCCCGCTCAGCCTCCCCACTTAGTGAGTTGTCAGGAAGCCGCGTCGTGCGAAGAAGGCCAAGGCTGTCGGGGGCGGAGTTCAGCGACGGAGGGAGCATGCGAGTTGGTGAGATGTGCCCACAGAATGATCTGGCGAACCAGACGTTGGTGTTTGGATGGCAGAGTCCTATTGTTGAACAAAGCCATGCATTCTGCGCCGGAACCAGCAGACAGGCGAGACAGGAACCAGACAGACAGGCAGCATGTCCTCGGGGGTGGCCCTTCCGGCCGCAGGTGTCGCAGGAGGGCGACTGGAGCGCCCCGCGACCGGGGTCGGTGACCGGGCTGGTCGAGGGAGTCTGAGTCGGATCGACTCGACCGACTTCGGACCTCGGAAAGGGTGGCTCCCCGAAGAGAAAGCGCCGAGAAAGCGAAAAGGAAGCTAAAAGGGGGTTTGAATGCCATCTGGGTGAGAAGGTCTAGCTTGGAAGTTCAATCTTTCCCCGAAGGTCGGCCACAGCAAGGTGTCGGAAAGCACACTGTGAAACTCAGAGCCTGAAGATGTCTCCGGTTTCTACAAGCCTTCGGAAGCATATTCTACATCGCCAATGATCACTTTGACAGCTTGGGAGCCACCCCTGTACACTGTTTTCGATCCATTTTCCTCCCAGGCTTTCCTGCCTGGGTCCGCGCCTGACTCAACTTTAATGCAGTCCATCCGTGGCCCAGCCGTTTTTCGGGTGAAGCGCAGATGGGGGGTGTGGGGCTTCTCTGCCTATTTCATGCCCTTGTCGTAGGGGGTTGAAGATGTATGACCCCCAAACGATAGATGAACAAAAACCATTAGTTCATCAGAAACCATTAGATGGTCCTGCTCATGGTTACACAAGAGTCAAGTCATTTCGGCGTGCTCGCCCAGTGCCCCTTGGGCACGGGTTGCTCCCCCGAGCGTGCTCTGCTCCCCCGAGCGTGCTCGAGACACACGCGGGGGGGCGGCGGAGTGCCGATGAAACCCCCCTTCTGCGGGCACCCAGGGAGTTTCGTCACCCTGCGAAGCAAGGAGTGGACGACACGCACGGAGATCGAAGCATTCGCACGTGGGTGTTGGTCAGTGAGAAGCCCTGGCGGGTCATGGGGAGAGAGAATCGGTGAGGCAATGCGCGTTCCAAGAGAGGTAGAAAGGTGACCACTTGTGACTCGGTGAAGTGATGATAAAAACTGCTGATAGTCACAGAGCTCGGGGTGGTTTTGAGCCTCATCCAGTGAGTGGATGTTTTGGGCACCAACCTCCGTGGATCGCACCTAAGCTCCAGGTCTTTCCGACAGAAACCTCAGAAACCTCGTTAGGGGCCGGTCAGGGGGCCATACATCCACAGGTGAGCTCGGTTCCTTTGGGCCGGATGTAGCTGCTCGGTTCCTTCGGTGGCCGGTTCAGCCTCTCTTCGGCCGATGTTTTCAGCTTCCTGCCATCGACACCGAAAGGAAATCTCGCCTAACAGGTGGAGACCTGTTGCAGTCATGTGCATTTCGAACCCCTTCCCCTGGGGGGTTGAACTCACCAAGACCCACGCGCGGCGAGGAGTTCACTCCCCGAAGCACACGCATGGGACCAGGCCTTTCCCCCGCATGGTGGGCCTTCCCCAGACAGTGTCATGCGAAGAAAAGGATGGGTCGTGGGAGATGGGGAAAGTCTGACGTTCGTTCTTGAGACGAAGAACAGGCGATACTCCAAATGCGGCTTTGAGATACTTGGGACAAGAATGGAGCATATGATGTTGTTGCGTTTTACGATGTTCCCTTCGAAGGTCTTGAAGAGTCTTCATGTCCGGCGATGGGAGTCATGAAAAATGGCCGTGATTCCCCTCTTCAGGGACCCACAAGCTTTGACAGGGCCGTTGAATTCATTCATGATGAGGTTCTTGACCGTCGGGTCGGGAAGTGTTTGGGACACGTTCGTCCCAGACACCGTTCTATACCTCTATGAGGTTCGTCTGATGTTCTATGTATACTGCAGATCCAACACGTTCTACATCATGGTGAACGGTGTCGCAAGGCTGGGGTGGTCTTCCTTTCGGGGCCATGCCATTCACGGAACCATGTTAGTTCCAGGGAGTGTACAACTGATACACTCCCAACATATATTGAAACTGATACTTCCATATTCTATGTTGGGATGAGGTCGGGAGTGTCCAAGGCCTCATCCCAGATGACACCGATCTTCCTTTCGGTCCGATCCGTTAACACGGTCCTTCGCATCGTGTCGGTCGAGTGTCCAGTTGAGTCGCGGCTGCGCCGGCTGTTTAAAGGCGGTCGGCTCCGCGGTCCAAGGAAATCGCAAGGACGACCTTTTCATTTCGAAACAGATTTGGGAATGGTCAACCTGTGGTACAGATTGGGGAGGACCCCTTGGCATCAACCAGTCGCTCAGACAAGTGCGTTAAAGACAGACGCGATCCCAGACACGAGCTCTTCAAATATTCAAGTGTCAAGGTTTGCCGAAAGCTCGCGCGAAGCAATGGTGTGCCAGGGAAGAAGGCGACAGGCGGGGTGCGTAGAAGGGTGGATTGCTGTTGAAGAGAATCGTGCGTTTCAAGAGTGCCCTTCCACAGTTTGTGCCTCAAGACATAAATTTTGCTCAGCTTTCAGCTTTTGCATGCTGTTTCTTGAATCGAAGCCTATGTGCACAAAACCCAGTCACCTTCGATGTTGGGTCTGCTGTACACCGTTCAGCCAAAGCAGACCAGTCCATTTTGTACCTGCCTAGTCTCTATTTTTCTACTATAAGGGATGTTCCGATGTCCAAACCTACCTGGTCTTGGGCCGCAAGAAGCCCCGGAAAGAGAAGGTCCAAAACCTTCGCTTCCACCTACGCCGGTCATGGGAAAACCAGGTGACAGGTGGGCTTCCGGCTGCGACCGATGGCTGTGACCGGTCCCACACGTGGCAGACCGTCCCTCTTAGGCCTTGTGTCTGCTGGGCCTCTGGAGCCTCTACCTCCGAACCGAGGAGCCCTCTCGCACGCGCGTTTGCGACGGAAGCAGTGCAGGGGAACGCGGGAAAGCTGAGGACCCAACAGGGGACGATGTTCTCGAGTGCAGGGGAACGCGGGAAAACTCCACTGAGCATTGGTTGATTGGGGGCCAAGCTTGCTTGCTTACTAAGTGGTGTGTTTCTTTGTAAAGATGAGAGCACCATAATTGCATGAATTCCGGGGCCATTCTGCACGAACAGCTTCCGCACCTGGCGGGGGTGCCGCTGCAGAGCTTTGACTCTCTGGGGCCTTTGACTCTCTCGTCCTGCACGATGCACGGAAGGGATTCGGGAACGGTCCGTTCCACAGGTCGGGCACATTCCACTCATGGCACTCATGGACCGGTTCGAGAGGTCGGGTTCCTTTTTTTTTTTGAAGCGACACGGCGACACGAAGCGATGCGTTCGCGTTTGTCTTCAGTGTGTTTGTAAATAGATCTGGGGCGTCGATCTATTTCCCTTTCACCCTGGTGCAGAACATGGCTTTCTTGCGCTGCTGCAAATTCTGCACTCTCAGCAGCTGCAGCCTGTCAGGAGCAGCCTGGGCAGACCTGTGGGGGAGCTTGGCCTGGTGATTTTGTCGTAGAAGGTAGGCTTATCCGAGTGGATGTTCAGGGCACCCGGACTGCCTCCAAGTTCGGCACACAGTTGGAACTACAGGATTTTCAGTTTTTGTTGGAGTATCTTTGCATCTTTGGGATTCTTTTGGGGATGAAGTAGTTAGGACTTATCCAACCAATCACCGCAACAGTCCATCCACTGGTACAACTACCCAATATCTTAATTCATCTGAAGCTATCTGAACCATCTTCTTCAAAACCTGGTGGTCACCCACCAGACGGGGAAAGCCTCCTTGCAGAGGCATGCTATGGAGTGCCCCACTTCATTTCTCCAACCTGGTTGTCCTTCACTCGATACAACATCCATGAATGGACGTGGATGGGGCCAAACACCCTCACAAAAATAACACAGGACTTCGTTCGAGTTGCCAGAGTTGTCAAAGGTTGAAAAACCCAATAGGCTATCCCAGCTAGGTACCCCAGGTTACGGCCTTATTTGCGGTCACTTAACCTCTCTTGGGAGTTGCCAGAGAACCACATCCCGAGTTCGGGGTCAGTGTGGTAAGGGTAATGGCAACTGGTCAGTCCCATAGCAGAGCAAGACATGCCCAGGGCAATCAAGGTAAGACCGACCTGGATAGAACCTTTCATTGGCTACACTACACTAACCCAGCCGTCAAAGACCTTTGCAAGAATGGTTTACCTGGTTTTGTAGTCTAAAATCCTTAGCACAACAATGGTCAGTGGAACCGCTACCCCTGCGGCACTCCCCTTTTTCAGGCAGAACTTGATCAGCAACATGTGACAACATGTTAGATCCCTTCATGTCCAATCCGACACCCCGTGGCTGTGTCACGGCCAACACCTTCAGTTCTCCACAGCTTTACCTGATTTCGACCGCTTCGCGCCTGTGCGGTCGAGACATGTCAGGCTTTGCCTTGGCCGGTGCTGTGTCCGGGGTCCCCGGTGCAGCGCACCTGGTGCCGGCAATCCTTCCACCTGTTTTTGGTTCAAGGTGAGGTGAAGGGAGACTTACCATGCGGCAAGTGTGTGCGTTTTCTTCCACAACATGGCCCTTCTCAAGCCGTAACCATTTTGGCTCGAGTGCCAAGCCTCAAGCTGTGCCAACGACGTACGCGAACGCCGTGCGATCCAATTTGCCGAGAATGCCGGTCAGCCGTCCACGAACCATGGAGGATTGGCTTTATGTCCTGCCTGATTGTGTATCATCTGAATCGTGGACAGTGGCTACCTCACAACCAAAAGCTCAGCTTCTGCACCGGCCATGTCCTTGGGGTGGTCATCTCGTGAAGTTTGATTTGAAACGCATTGAGATTGCAGACGCGCCAGAGAACACAGCCAATGTGATTGTCCGGCCCGAGGTCCGATCAGCCATGAGTGGAATGTGTGCTCTATCAGGATTTCAAGGAAGCCACACAACGATCAGGTCTTCGGAATTCGTGGCGCCCGGCGAAGCCATCGTCGAAAGCAAGACCTCGTCATGGCTCATGCACCTTTGTGCGGTCCTCTTTGGCGAGATGGCCGGAAAAAAATTGAGTCATTTCTTTCACGATCCACAAGTTCCGGTGGTGTTGCACCAAAAGATCCGCCGCAACTACCCCTCAGAGGGTGACAGTGCCCTTGCAATTTGGGAAGAAGGTGGCGAAGTGCAAGAAGGTTTTATCCTCATCCGGCCGGAGAGTGAGAAGGGCACATTCAACGTGATGTTCGTCATGCGGATCTTGGAGGGGAAGTTTGCTCCATGGGCCACCTTTCAGTTTCGACTTCTTATGGAGGGTGCTCATCGGTCAACACAATTCTTTCTCAATCGCCCAAACATTCGAGAACTGCGTGAAATTGATGAGAAGTTCTATGTGACTCTGTCCATCCAAAGCTTTAAGCGTGGAGTGCCCATGGTGCCCTGCTCCAGCAAGCCAACGGTGACCATCGATGCTGGGGAGCGTTTGGGTTTGAAGCTTTGGAGACGCTACAAGACGGAGAGACGGGGAGCAGCTGGCAGTAAGGGCAAGTTCTTTCTGTCCGAGTATTTGACGATCCTGGTGAATGCTCTGGGAGAGGACATTGAGACTTTTGATACTTTGGATGGATTAGAAGCTGTCCGTTATCAATACATTGTTCGACGGAGCGACTGGGAACGCGTGAGAATGCGCTTCTTTGACGACATCTACCCCTTGGCGAGAGCTGCGTATCGCAGGGCAAATGGGGGCACGTATGCGCCAAGTGTCTATGAGGAGGTTGAAACAAAGTTCAATCTGCAGGAACCCAAACGCATCGAAGAGGAAGAATCGCTGGACATGCCCAAGTTGGTGGTACGAAATACCTTCTTGGACCTCGAGGAAGAAGACACTCAAGATCCTGCAGACAGGCCTAAACGAAGAACGAGAAGTGCCAAGCTTTTCCCTGTGGAGCTGAGCGTTGCCGAATTCGTATAAAGATTACACCGCAATACACCGCATTTAGCAGCTCAAAAGACAGTTGCACATGGAGACAGGATTCATGTATAGAAGATGTCTCTAGCATTCACTATTTTCACTATTTCTGTAGCCATTTCTGTACAGGGAAGGCACGATTTGCTGCCAATGCTCCACTGAACTTAGTCGATGTGTAAAGATGTCTTAGTCGATGTCTAAGTGCATTTCTTGTACAGTGTCCTCGTCATGTCCCGACAACGGAGAGGAACGCCACTTCCATGTGTTCGATTCTGAAAGCGCAGTTGCTGTTCGTTCGAGAAAACGGGTGTCCGCTCGAAACCGTGTGGACTTCCTTTGGTCAGTAGCCGTAATCGCCTTTATTCCATCCTGAACTCCATGGAAGTCCCGGACAATTCGTGATTTCAATGTAGCGGATGGATAGTAGAAGAAAACACATGACCATGAAGACAACATTACCGGTTTATCTCTTAGAACCTTTTTTGGTCTCTTACCATAGCATTTTTCGAAAATCTCTTAGCATCTTTTGTCTCCTATACATTACCTTTTGATCTCATTTTGAGAAAAAGACATGTTCCCCAAACAGTTTACAGACATGCGGAAGGCACTCATGTCTGGTCATGATTTCCATGCTTCTCCCCCTTGGAATGCCCGCTCACCCCTCCGCATCTGCCACACTCGGTGGAGGTCTTCTCGCAGCCGGGCGAAGCAGGCGAACGAGCGAAGCCACAGTCCGTCTCGCGGGGGTGCCCGGTGACGGCGCCGACGGCCAAAAAATGGGTGGGGCATGTCTGGGGTGGCTCCATGTCTCTGTCAAAATGGAGTGTCAGTCGATGTTGGGATCGGCTGCCGTGTGTCCTTTTTCGCCACCGGCAACCTTGGGGCTCAAGTGGATCTCGTGGCCTTGGATGGGCCCTGCCAGACACCAGGTGGATTGAAGCTACCAGGCGCCGCCGAGCGCTCTTTTGCTCAAGGCTCAAAAGGCACCTCGCTGCGACTTCGCCGCAAGCTCGCTTTTGATGGTGAGCGGAGCCTGAGATTGCTGATCTCGGGCACCCGCTGGCGCGGCTCCTGCAGCCGCGCTCCTTCCTGCGCTCGCTCCGGCGCCCTGGCTTGCTCCCGTGAGCGCCAGGCCACTACATCCTGGTCGAGCCCTTCCTCCCGGTTGAGCTCTTTGGCATGACCACCGCCGGAGGTCTGATCACAGACCGCTATGGGGTCCCACAGTACAGTGGGGAAGCCGAACTCTTTGAAGAGTATGAAGAGCGGGCTTGGGATCTTTTTCATGGAAGAGAAGGCACTGATGGGCTCCAGATTGCCACTCCAGTTCATTTGAGAGCTGGTCTCACTGGTGCAGCATATGAGTCGGTCCGCAAGCTTGAACACAACAAGTTGAAGACCAAGAACAGCGACGGCAAGGCGACCGACGTTGGCATGAAGCTCCTCCTGTCCACCTTGAAGGACTCGATAGCAGCTGAGCTTCCAGTGAAGACAAGTGAGCTCTTCTTCCAGGCCTTCTACAGCCCCAACGTGTGGAGAAAGAACTATGAGACCATGCAACAGTACATCGTACGCCGTGAGCAAGACTTCAAGCGCCTCGAGGACAACAGCCCCGGCACGCAGGTCTCAGAGCAGGTGAGAGCAATGATGTGCTTTGGAGGCCTCGATCCAAAGGAACAGACCTCTGTGCTCAGCTCCTGCAACAACACCTACGAGTTCCAGAAGATTGCACAATTTCCCAATGCTGCTGGGAAACCCGTTCATCGTCGTGACTACCTTGGAGCACGACTACAAGGTGGCCCTTCGACTCAGCAGGTTCACATGCAATGGAAACAGAAGTTCAGTGGCAAGACCCGGCAAGTCCTGGCTACTGAGGACTATGAACCTGAGCCTGCCGAGTACGACGATGATGCCTACATCGAAGAAGGCCACGATGATGAGTATGAAGAAGGCCCCACCGACGAGGCCTATGCTGGCTACTCCGACGACGAGCTCATGGAGCGACTTCCCAGACCTTTCAGAAGATCCCGCAATCGCTGAAGCCTTTGCCACGGTGGCTCAGCATCGCTTCAAGAAGAAGAAGTTCATGTCTGGCAAGTCCTCCACTCCGAGCTCTCCGCCTAACCAGCAAGCATTTGGCTTCCAGGCCCGTGGTTAGATGAGCTTCTCCAAGAAGGCCAAGGACCAGAGAAAGTCCGCAGTCCGCTTCCTGAAGTCCGTCACTCCGTGCACTGCCTGCCAACAGAAGGGACACTGGGCAGGCGATCCAGAGTGTTTTGTGAAGAAGGGAAAAGGCCGTGGAAAGACATCTTCACCTTCAGCAAAGAAGAAAGGTCAGCCACCCAAGCGGAAGTCTCCGGCCACCACTCTGCTCGCCCTTCATGATGCGGAACCTGATCGTCAAGATCATGACGTGCCCGATGCTGCTATGGTTGAACCTCCAACTGCAGAGGCTGAGGAGTGCTATATGGCTGACGACCTCAACGCTCCCAGGAATGTCAAGGCCTCTGAGTATCGGTACGACCCAACCAACCTCAACGGCACTGGCACTTCAGATGGGCAAGATGTGTCTCATGGGATCTACACCTTGGCAGCCTATGTTGTGAACGATTTCACCTACCAGAAGCTGCCAGGTCCCGTGGCATTTCGTCACATCTGCGATGCCTCAGAAACCGATGGCTCTGCTGAATCCTTCATGGCTCTGAACTGTCCCAAGCTTTGTGAACACTCTTCCTATCGAGGCGGTGAAGAACACAAGCTCCACCGTGGTGCCCACGGACACACCCGACATGTCACTTGCAAGGAACGCGGTTGTGATCGCACCATCATCGTTGGCCACCGGAAGGAACCAGTTGAGATGTGGTCCTACTTGGTCCAGATCCTCTTGTGCACGAAGTGGCGCGTCCAACCAATCACAGCAACAGTCCATCCACTGGTACAACTACCCAATATCTTAATTCATCTGAAGCTATCTGAACCATCTTCTTCAAAACCTGGTGGTCACCCACCAGACGGGGAAAGCCTTCTTGCAGAGGCATGCTATGAAGTGCCCCACTTCATTTCTCCAACCTGGTTGTCCTTCACTCGATACAACATCCATGAATGGACGTGGATGGGTCAAACACCCTCACAAAAATAACACAGGACTTCGTTCGAGTTGCCAGGGTTGCCAAAGGTTAAAAAACCCAATAGGCTATCCCAGTTAGGTACCCCAGGTTACGGCCCTATTTGCGGTCACTTAACCTCTCTTGGGAGTTGCCAGAAAACCACATCCCGAGTTCGGTCGGTGTGGTAAGGCTAATGGCAACTGGTCAGTCCCATAGCAGAGCAAGACATGCCCAGGGCAATCAAGGTAAGACCGACCTGGATAGAAGCTTTCATTGGCTACACTACACTGACCCTAGCCGTCAAAGACCTTTGATGGTTTACCTGGTTTTGTAGTCTAAAATCCTTAGCACAACAATGGTTGTTCGACAAGGCCATTAACAAAGTCGACAAGATAGATCTATCAATCATTCAGTTGGTGGACGCTGCCCACCGCTGCCCACCATGATTACCAGAACCAGTGGAACTGCTACCCCTGCGGCACTCCCCTTTTTCAAGCAGAACTTGATCAGCAACATGTGACAACATGTTAGATCCCTTCATGTCCAATCCGACACCCCGTGGCTGTGTCACGGCGAACACCTTCAGTTCTCCACAGCTTTACCTGATTTCGACCGCTTCGCGCCGGTGCGGTCGAGACGTGTCAGGCTTTGCCTTGGCCGGTGCTGTGTCCGGGGTCCTCGGGGCCGGCAGAGCAGGGTCCCCGGTGCAGCGCACCTGGTGCCGGCAATCCTTCCACCTGTTTTGGTTCAAGGTGAGGTGAGGGGAGACTTACCATGCGGCAAGTGTGTGCGTTTTCTTCCACAGCATGGCCCTTCTCAAACCATTTGGCACCACGGACCTTTATTTTTGGTCCAAACGAGCGCGTCCCGTACCCAGTTCCAGCCGTAGGCCACGGGACCCGCCGCACCCACCAGCCCACCGCCCAGGCGCCACGGGTGGAGAGACCCGCGCGTGGTGCAGAGACCGAGGCGCACGCTGCGAGCGAGCGTTGTTCCCCCCGCGACGCACGGAGCGAGAAGCCGACGGCGGACGAACGGAGCGTTTCAAGCGACGCGAGTCGCTAGGAAGTAGGATGGCTACTAAACAAGAAGCAATGGGACCCATCGCTTTCAGTGTTTCAGTTCGTTGTTGCAGTCTGTTCGTAAAACATCCCAAATGGTAGGTGCCGTTTTGGAGGCCGTTGTTTGTCTGTCTGACGTGTTCTACGACTCCGAAGCTGAAGCGAAGGAGCCCTTTGCTGCGAGTTGCTGGATCCCCTGGAGTGTGTAGAGGGCTTTCTCAAAGATGCTGCTCTTTCGCCACCTCAAGGTCTGGAGTCTAGAATTATAGAAGATAGGAGTAAGTAGGGTCCCTGGGATTCCAAGAACCATGGTGTTAATATGCTTTATATAATGCTTTAATAAATTGTCGAACAAATATCCTTGTTGTGCCAAGGATTATTATAGACCTCAAAATTCTTGCAAAGGCTGTCCGGATTTTCTTTGGAGTAGGACATCATGCTACTTTGGTCCGAGCGACCTCAGCGCATTGTGAGTCAGGCCGCGCATTGTGCGACAGGCTGGGTCGGCGAGACCGCTTTCGTCAGCATCTCTCAGAGTTGGGTTTCGAGACCTGGTGGGTGAAAACCTGTAGCCCCAAATCTGGGTGGTTGACATCCCGAACATACAGGAATCGGTTCTCAAACTGTGCGGCAAAGAACAGGGCTACGATGGGCTACGGGGTTTGGAGCAGCCACTCTGCTCACCTACAGGGACTCAGATCTCAGAAGAGGTTGACTCCCGTCACCTGTGGTTTCGGTGATACATTCTTTAATTGACAGGAGGTAATGGTCGAATCAGGCGTTCGTTGACTTGAAAGGTAGATCCTCTTGGTGTTCCTGTCGCATGCGAACATGGACCTCCGTCGCGAGGACCTCGGCGTCCCACCGCTTTGATCCACAGCGATACCTGGAGACTCGGTGAACCTCTCACCGCTCCCGTGAAAGCACACGGTACTCAGCGGATCTGAGCGGCCTGAACACTGGAGAACTGGAGACGTCGGAGTTTTCCTTTGGGGAACACCGACGAAACAGCTTGTTCGGCTTCCCAGCGGGACAACTGGCGGGCCGACGCAGCAGCGAGCCGCGGCGCAAGCCACGCCGCGGTCCGTGGCTCCCGGCGGCGTCCGCGCTGCCGTCGTGCGCGCCAGATTCAAACCTATGACGCCTTTGAGAACATGGGGAACCCCTTCGATGCCCGGGACCCCGGTTTTTCGTTGGTCTCTTTGGCGGTTTCACGACCCGTTTCGTTTGGGAGAGAGCCCAGACGGACGGCCGAGAAACGGCCAGGGGTGGTTGACGGGGGGTCAATTGATTGGCATAGATGGCAGTCCCATGGAGTGTCTGGGCTTGGTCTATTTTTTTGTCTCTTTTCCTGCAGCGTAAGGGTGCAGGTGAGTCCCGGGTTGGGTCCGCTTCGATTTCGGCGATGAACTCGCTGGGCGATGGTGAATTGTTCATCAAGCTGAGGGGGGATTAGAACCACTTCATCCAGCAAAGGCTCCTGAAAAGATGTGAACAGAAGACCATTTCTTTTGTTCCCCAAACAGCTGCGGCTGCGGGGGGTTCTGGATTCTTGCCATCGAAACGATCCTGGGCCTCTTGTCGGTACTGTTGTCTCCCTTCTTTCCCATGGCAAAAGAACCGAGATAGTCTGGCAAGGAGATTCGCCGTCAAAAAGAGACATCAAGTTGCCGCTGTGCTGTTTGGGGTTGATGCTGGTGTAATTGAGATATATATAATATACAAAATATAATATAAAGTAATATACAACATTGTTGTTCAATCAAACACTATACTATACCTGTATCTCAATCTCTGAGTACGACTTTGCATCTACTATGGAAGGTTCTGAGCTTGAAGCCTTTATGGACCGCATCTGTTTTTAGAGGTGGGATTTTCTCCGGGAGGACTTCCCCAAAAGGGACGGGTGACCCACCGGATGTGACCGTGGTGTTTCACACCGTCACTTCAACTTCCTAGCGGAGTGCGGCAGGTCCCCCGGATGACATGGAGGGGCTGTTCCGAGGTGCAACAGATTCGGGGGGAGCCAGAAACCGTTCAGAAGTGTCTTCACCACGTACGAATGAACCACTTGCACTCATTTGTCCCGCCAAAAGCCGCGGAGGCTCCCCAGTGAACATACCCCGTCCACCCTCCGCCCGACCGTACCGTCTCCGGCCGTATCGATGCGACGCGAGGTCTATGCGACCTTCTTCGGGCTCTCGGTCGTGATGCCGTGGCCTCGGAGAGCGAGTGGTTGCGCTGAACGTCCGGATTCGCTGGGATTTGGAGAGGGAACAGTCCTTCGGCATCGTGTGGCTTAAGCGTTTTTCGGACTGCAGACTCGACAGGCTGCGCCTACCGACCACCTCCTGGTGGATCTATTTTGGTTCATCCTAAGGGCATTACTAGTAGCTTCTAGCTACTAGTAGCGATGCACCTGTTACTAGTAGCGATGCACCTTGTTACTCGTAGCTTCTAAACAGGTTGCAAGACTAAGAGATTTTCAATGGCGGACTGCCAAGTTGTGTTTGTTGAGGTTGGTTATTCTCTTCGTCTTTCCCTTCGCCACCAACTTCGGGCGTACCGATGACAAGGACTATATGAGAGACTTCTTCCTATTAGACGAGCCGTGTCTAGGGTGGGTAAGAAAACAGGCACTTGGATGCACTTGGGCTAGAAACCCATGTGCTTCTTTAGAGTTTCGTGCAGACTTCCTTCATGATCCGTGTCCCACCTCGTGGGCTCTTGTTTCCGAGAAGAGAAGATGTGTGTGGGCCGACCAGTTTTCGATGTCTGAATTGAAACAGTGCTGGGTTCTGTAGAAACATTCCAAAGCTGCAAAACATTGTAAGTGTATATGCCAAGGCCCCTGAGGGGTGGTAAATGGACACGCTTAACCTCTGAGGGGCTACAATTAGCCACCCCTTTTCTGGGGCCCTGGTGGAGTCTTTTAGCGGGCTTTGTCGACCTCTGCCCACCTGCATGCCAAAGGAACTTCGACATGGCAGGGACCTGCCTCTGCCTCCTTGTCTTGGCCAGGAGGAGGAAGATGTAGAGCTCCTCTACGAGGAGGTCGACGACGAGGAGGATGACAAGGACTGCAGCGACTGCAGCAAACACGAGGATGACCAGGAGATGACAATAGAGATCCCATCAGATCTCAGCCCTATTGATCCGCAGACCAACCGAGCCGGACCCTACGGCTTGTCAAACCTTCGAATGGCCCAGCAGTTTGGGATCGGAGCCAGGAGGACCTCTATGAGGAAGAAGATGAGACACCGGACGAAAAGGCCGGATCAACCCCTGGCCACAAAGCCTCTCTCCCGGTCGGTGTCAAAAAGGAAACAAGACGGGGACAGGGCGGCTGGGGAGGTCCATTTTTCAGGGTTTTCAGATTTGGATGTTGCCAGTAAGGGTGCGAAACCGGGGGCCCGTTTGGTGAAACCGGCGGCTCTTTGCTTGACTAAAGGGTTTTTTCTGACTTCGCGAGACCCGTTCGAGGTGAAAGCCGTCGAGAAGGAGGTGAAGAAACAGGCGCACCTTGCTCCCCTGCCCATGCTGTAGAGTCCCACATGTGGCGCGTCCAGGAGAGAACCGAAGAAATTCCAAAGAACCCGCAAATCAATCGGAAAACTGGTCAGAAGCTGATGAGTGCAAGCTATGCTCCAGAGGTTTGTTCCCAGCATTAGAAATCTCAAACACTCAGGATTTTTCGGTCTAAGAGTGACATGGACTTTTGTGAATGGAATATGTCGGGACCCTTCATTTCGTGCATTTGAAGAAGCTTTGGGCGCTTTTTCTTGAGCAACCACTCAAGCGCATGCTCACACACATGCACTCAGTTGTCGGTCGCGTCTCACTTTCTCCTCCCATCCTCCCAATGTCATGGGCCAAACGGTTCAGTCAGGGATTCGCACCGCCCCACCAAGTCAAAGGGTGTTGAACGTCCTGGATGAGAGCATGACAAGGCGACGACACAGCTGCAGTTGTTGTAGAATCCTCTTCCAAAACGGGAGTGCCAGACTGCCAGACGCACGCATGTGAATCCAGCGGCCACCCCTTTGTGGTTCTGCTGGCTTTTTGCAGGCGACGACGGCGAGCCAAGTGGCCCCCTAGGCGGGTTTCCGCCCGCCCCGTTAAACGGCCCGGGAGAGACCTTTCGGCGCCGAGAGGGGGTGTGTTCTTCGGGAGGTCGGCGCCGCGTTGAACGCACCGCTGCCGGCGCCTCCGACCAGGGAAGACACCCTTTCCATTCCTTCGGCCGGGGAAGAGCGGACCCGTTGCCTTTCGGAAGACACCGAGGATTCGAGCGATTCAACGAAGGAGTCGAATCCCTCGATGCCAAAGGGCGAAGATGTTGGCATCACTGGCCATGACTTACTCCCCTAGGCTTCCAACAACCAATGTTTTAATGGTCTGACTCCCGAACCACCAGCTGTTTTACGAAGGATTCTACACTACGCAACCAGGTCAACAACAACAACAACCTTTCTTTGAATGGTCTTGGAAGCCTAGGGACTCCTTTTTATTGGGGGGAAGATGATGGCATCCCCATCGACTGATCTTCCAAGCGATAGGCATCACCAGTCGTCTCCATCCACAGGCGGCCACCGTGGGGACCACGAAGTCCGTCGCCGCGTGAAAACACCGCAGAACGAACGAACGAACGGTGCGGTGCGGTGGAAAAAGGGACTGCGCGGCGGCGTCCGGTGTTGGTGGAGGGAGGCCATGTTGGTTCTTCGTTTTTGGGGGTGGCAGGAGGCCACCTTTTGTCGGGGTGGGAGCGTTCTTGGAGGCGACGCCGCGACGCGACCCCCCCCCCCCAACAGATGCAGCGACAGGTAGATCAGCTCCCCTCGCCCGTCCCGCCACGAACCGCACGTGGAACGCCCAACGCGAGACGTCACCGTTCCTGGAGAGGCGGTCGCACCCGGACGGCCTCTGACGGTGGACCCGGTGGCGCCGACGTTCTCTCCAAAGCTGCGTTCGCTTGGCCAAGGTGGTTCTGCCTCACAACTGCTCCAGCCCAGCGGTCTGTTGATTGCAACATAGTGCAACACAGACACAACATGACACAACTATATTCCTACACAGCTCTGTCATGCGATGCCAATGCATTTCAAGCCGCCGAACACGGCCGGTCACGGCGTGGCTCCACAAGCAGGTCACGGCCGTCTCTTGGTTCGTAGCCTTCGGTGCCACGCGCGCCTTCGGCGGCGAGACTCCACTCCGTCTCCGCCCTCCGTCCATCGCCCTCCGGAGACAAGACGGGAGTCTCTGCAGTGTTACATGGCACTCGGCAGGAACTGCTGCTCTCCCTGCCGGGCGTGAACAGTAGGAGTAAGTAGGTGCCCTCTGGAAACGGGTCGAAAGTAACACAGACAGACAGGTTCCGCACACCACAGGGGCGGACGTGTTCACCGCCCGTCCTCCGCTGTTGGTGTCGGCCGGCCACTCTTAAAGAGCGGGTCCTGGTGGACAGAGTCCATCTTGTCCGTTGCAGGCCATTGAGCCGTTGTGCATCGTAAGCAGCATGCTGTTCAACGCCGACAGCAACAAGTAACTAGCGTTGTCGATGCTATTCGTTCGGTCGACGTACTTTGATGAAGGGGGCTTGGATCAGTTGAAAGGCTGCTGGGCTTTAGTCTGTGCAATTCCATATCAAGTCATAACGGGGACGGTTGCTGAAGGTTCAGGGTCTCGGCATCCGCTTGCGGGAACTGACGGGCTGACATGGCCGGCGAGGTGGCCAGACTTGCCACTGCCAGCTCGTACGAGCTGGCGTTCTGAACTTGCGTTCTAAACTGATCTTCGACCCTAAGAATCCGAGCGGGCTCTCCATGGCCCTCCATAGTCCGGACCCTCAAAACCCTATGTTTTTCTGGAGCCGGATGCTTAGGGTAGTAAGTTCCACACAGATCTTTTGCGCGTAGAGACCTGCATCCTCTTTTTGCGCGTAGAGTCGCATGGATTCCTTTTTTGCGCGCAAAAACCTATCTGTTTGAAGATGCCTGGCTTACTTCGGCTTTCGTGGGTTGTGAATGTCCCGGCAGCCTGATGCGGCGCTCCAACGATGGCCTTTGGAAATTCCCGCCGCCATACGCACGCAACTCTTGGCACTTACAAGCCACAACGTCCCCCGTTGAAATTGGCTTTCTGAAACGGTAGTGTTCGGAGTCTTGATACAACATCCCCCACCGCTGTTCGCCTATGCCGATGCTTTGCCCTACATTATGTCAAATCTGAATCTGACCCCCTTTTTATAGTCAACATGGGTGGCACCCAGCCTGAATCTTGGTGATTTTTGAGGGTTTTGGAGGTACAAGGTCCATTTTGGTCTTTGATTAGCTTTAAGGATTTTGAAGCTGTTAGGGTCAAGGGGTCATTTTTATAGGAGGATCGCATTTTTCTTAAATTGAGTGCTGGGACCTGGTCAGGGAATTGTGAAACGGAAGATGAAACCAGACCGGACATTCGATCGTATGCAGGTCCGAACTTGTGACTTCGCACCATGGCTCAAGCCATGCATCACATCGCACGGCAAAACAGTTGCGTCACGACGCTGTTTTCCTTTGTGTTTTGGCTGCCCAATTCATATTGGCAGCGGAGCTCAGTCTCCGGGGAACCCTTTTGGTTTGTGAGCTCAGGCCATTTCGGTACACCCTCGATTTTTCTAGGTGACTCTTTTTACCGCCGCTTTCGATTTCGAGCCATGTCGATTGTGGACTGCCTCAAATGGCAGACATTCACTGCGGCCCAGGAAGATGTCTGGTCCACAGAAGCCAAGAGCGGTGTGCCGCGCTATGATGGAGAAGTGAGCCGACTGGCTGAGTACCAGTTCAGGGTCAGGCTGCGACAAGCCAGGGAGAAGGTGATGGATGAGCAAGAGTTGAAGAAGCAAGGGCCACTTGTTTGAGGCTCATTGATGGCCTCAGGGGCCCTGCATTGCAAGTTGCACGTGCCATCCCTGTGGACAAGCTCGTTTCCGAAGACGGCACAAACACGTTGCTCAAAGCCTTGCAGAGCGCACTTCAGCCGAGATCCAAGCAGGAGGCCAGAGACCTGTACCAGATCGGTGCGCAGCAGGGCGGAGTTTTTGCCCGACAGGTTGGAGAAAGCATTCCGTCATTCGTCCTACGACGGAAGGCATGGTACAACATGATGCTGGACATGGATTCCTCTCTCCAACTCCCTGAGGCCATTCTCGCCGAGCAGACCTTGCAGAATGCCGGCATCAGTCACGACCACCAGCTGCTGATCCGTGCGGCCGTGCATGGTGACATCACCATGAACAAGGTCTGTGAAGAACTGGTCGCACAGCACAGCCGCATCCATGAGGTCGAGGCTCGCCGCAGCAAGGGGCACTTCAGCCGCTTCAACCACAAGGGATACTCCAGCAAGGGCTATGGCAAAGATCGAGGACGGTCTTCTTGGCACCGGGCATATCATGCCACGCCCAACGAGGAGTACTACGACTGTGAGGACTGGGACAACAACTCCCAGTCGTTGAGCGGATTTGATGAAGTTGAGACCTATGGAGAAGAGCATCAAGCTTATGTCATGGATGAAGAAGACTACATCCATCAGGTCTACATGAGCATGATCGAAGACGGCCTTGACGAGTATGACACAGAGGCCATGGAGTATGCGGCCGAGATCATGCAAGCAGAGGCAGAAGCCTTCTATGTCCGTGAGAAGGCAGGTCATGGAGGACACAAAGGCTTCTCTGGAGGTGGACGTCAATTCCAAGTACATGGACACCTCACGATGGAAGAACGTCGAGCTCGAGTTCAAGCCATGAAGTCTCGTACGACTTGCCGGAAGTGTGGACAATCTGGCCACTGGGCGAATGACCCTCAATGCCCAAAGTCCTACAAGTCCGCCAAGGGCAAGAGCAAGGGTGGATCTCCTTCCTCGACGACATCCACGACTACCAGTTCACCCAAGTCGAGCAAAGGTGGCAAGGGAGGCAAGTCTGACAAGCCTCGCACAGTGTTCTTCACTGTGAATGAGTATCAGCAGACCATCACTGAGGAGGACCACAAGGACTTCGAGGCCAACATGGTAACCAAGGCTGAACAACAAGCACTACAAGATCGTGAGGAGACAGCCGATGAGAAGCTGGACCGACTCATCATGGAGGCACAGATCCGACAGGCCACTCCGACTGTCAGGCATGCCATCGGACCACCAGCTTCGCAGGGACCAGTTCCAAGTCCCGCAACACCAGGATCATCTTCGGCAAGCCATGCTCTGGCCGAGGATTTCAGTGTCTTGCAGTCTGATGCAAGGAAGGCACATCTGGACACCTTCATGGCCATGATCAATGACCCCAAGGATGCTGAATGGCGTGATGCCTACAATGAGCGATGGTATGAATTCTATCCTGGACATCCGCTCTACACCCAGGAGGATCGGGAGCTTCTGCAGAAATGGCGGTGGAAGGCTGAACGCGGACTTCCCCGATTACCAGTTCAGCTCACTGCAACCCCTTCGAGCCCTACGGCATCTTCACAAGGGAATGATGATCTGCTGAGGCCCTGTGCACACATGCACACAACCCGCCAAGGATCCAATGCCTATCTCCGGGTCCTGAAGTGCAAGGATTGCAACAAGTACCTAGAGTACACTAAGTTGGACAAGCCCCAGAAGATGGAGGTCGATTCCGACAAGAAGACTGGCATCAAGTGTGAACATGAGGAGAAGGATTGGCGTGGAAGCACCGGCACCACATGGCAATGGAAGTGCAAATCCTGCGGGCACATCGAGAAGGGCAGCAGATCGGATGGCAAGCTGTGGGAAGCCAAATCGGCAGCAGCAGTGTCTGGAGCTCCGACAACTGGACAGGTTGACAAGGTCCTGGAGCTGTTCTCAATGGCCGTCGGACTTCAGAAGGAGATCGGAGGCGATCTGACTGTTGAGACCATGGACAAGATCTACGAGAAGTGCAAGAACACAGCACTTGGGAAAGCATCCGGCAGCTCTTCGACATTCTCACCACCGACCAGGAGTTCAGAGCCGGTCAGCATTGAGAAGCTGCAGGGCACCTACTTCACTTCAGGTGTGCATAAGGGACACTCGTTCAAAGAGATCTATAGCTATGAGAAGAGCTATGTCAAGACCATAATTGCCAAGTTCAAGAATGACAACATCAAGGATCGTTGCCTGGTCCAGTTCGCCAAATACTGCATTGCTCGACAAGAGCGTGAGGAAAGTGAAGCCTACATGGTCCAGGACGATGACCGCAGCTCTGAAGAGATCTATGTCATCCTCGACACCGGCTGCAACAACACATGCCACGGGTCTCGCTGGATGGAGAAATTTGTGAACTACATGGGCATGCAGCCAGAGCTCCAATCAGCGGAAGGTCGATTCCGTGGTGTCGGTGGAAAAGTTGA